TGAAATAAGGAAAATAATATTAATTGATCTATTTTTCCTTATTTGTGAGCTTATTGATTTCGTACTAGGTTATTTATGGTAGAATAATATCTTTCTGATTTCACCTCCTCTTTAGTTAAAGAAAAATAAATATTACTCCATATTAATTTATTCTTACTTGTTTATATTTGGTAATGAAATATTTTAAAATTTTCTGATTTGGTCCTCTTTAATAATAAGGAAAACAATATATTTAATTGATTCCTTTAAATATTTCTTTTCCTTATTTGTTTCCCCCTCTTTGCTATATAAATAAGACCCCCTCCCTTCATTATTTCATCAACTCATACACTCACATTCACTCTCAATCACAAGTTCTCTCATCACTCCTCATTCTCTCATTGCTCTCTTGCTACTCTTAAAATACATTAAGATTCCCATAAACATTCTAGTGTTCTTCTTCGCAACTTTGCTACTTTGATTTTGTTCGAGTAAAAGTTGGATCAACTTGTTTCCATTGCTACCATTCCTAATCTGCTTAACCGGTTTTAAAGTTGAAGTTCAAGTTGAAGAATGATGATCGTTTGTCTAATTCATATTTGAATATATTTCTTATGTATTTATTTAACCATTTTTTGTAATATTCATATAACACTGAAGCTTTCATATATGATATAAGATTTGGGGGGTTGCTATAAGGGGAGGGGGATATATATACATGCTAATTGTTTTCTTTGCTTATTATGTTTTTTACTATGTGATTGATACAAATTTTTCGTCTATTATTAATGTCATTAGAATAGGCAACATATTGGAATCACCTAAATAGTCTATTTAAAATCAATTATTTGTTTGCCTTGTTTAATTAGTTTGAACCAATGGGAGCTTGTAATATTAATAAAGTTAGTCACCTAGATCTTAACTTTTATATGTTAATAATATTTTTTAGCATGCTAATGAACTCAACAAGAGAAAGCGAACCTTGTAAAAGTATCGATGTCATAATTGTTAATGTAAACCTTATTAATTTTCATATGTTCACCTAGAAATCATGTTTGTAGGTTTGTAAATAAATTTTTAGCATACCCACTCCAATAAATTTTGTTGTGCATATTTTTGCCCCCCCCCCCCCTTTTAAATTAGCTAATTTTATTAATTAGTAATTTTATTTGTCCTCTTGAAGATTTCGCACTTATGATGCAATATGTTGTTTTCTAAAAATAATAATTATAATAAATAAACTAAAATCATTTCATGTATTTTACAAATTACTTGGATTTTGAATATATTTCATAGTAAGATCTTTGTATTTAATAAATTTACTACAATAATGTTCTACTAGTTTTTCTTTCTTACAAAGGTTTGCAACATTTTTTTAAAGTCATTATTCAATCCTCCTTTAAAACTTTGGATTGATTATTACATTATTTATTTTTGAAAATAAATTATAAGCAATATCTCCTAACCTATCGTTAGTGGGAAAGTCAAAGGAACTACGAGGTCTAGTTCCAATTTTTAAACGCGACGCGTCCCCAGAAGTACCACATTCCCATGAATTTCAAAAGGAATTATGTGTATTTATATGTAAATATTTATATGCCTATATGCAAATTGAATCTTTTAAATCATTTTCAAAAATATAAATTTTTATTATTTTTTTAAGACCGACCTCAAAACAAAATTGTTTCTATGGTGGAGGAGTGCGATCAACAATATCGTGGCATCACCCCTATACAAAAACAAACATTTTTTAAATAAAAATTCCTATTCAAAACTTGCTCAATTTTCAAAACTTTACTTTCGCACATATTAATTGCTTAATATTTGTAAATTTTGTTTATAACATAGTCTCGTATGTTAAAATAAATAAAAAGTAAATCTGATTGTTTATTTATTGCTATCACTTAGCCTTACATATCTTAATTAATTGGTCAAAATAATAAAAAAGTCTTAATTGTTTTATATTTGTTATCACTTAGCAAACTTAAATAAACTAATAAATGAAGTGACCTTATTTGCTACTTGTAACCCCCCACATAGATTGCATGAGATACGGTCGGGATCCACATTTGTGGACCTCGAGGGATGCCTAACACCTTCCCCTCGAGGTAATTTGAACCCTTACCCTGATCTTTGGCTTGTTGACCTTAGCTAGACTTAGTTAGGTTAGATAGGTGCCCTAACGCGCCTTAATTCGTTAGGTGGCAACTCCAAACTCAAAATTCCAAAAGAATTGTTAGGTCATGCATGAAACCCGTTTTTACGAAGAATGGGGCGTGACAGAATGGTGACTCCTCTGGGGATGTTAGGATTTTACCATTACATGTTTCGTGCTTACTTATGTGGGGTTTACTTCATTTTTGTCCATTTTATTATTTATTAGGTACTTAACATGATTGGTTTATTTTGTTGCCTTGTTTACCGTCTTCTCTCTATGTTCCACCCCTTTTCCTTTTCCTTAATTGTTTATTACCATGTTTCACCTCTTCCCTTTTCCCTTATTTGCTTAATTACATGTTTAATCCCATACCCTCTTTCCTTATTTGCGTGATTTTTAATATCTTGATATGTTTAAATTCCTCTATTTACTCATGATTATTTATCTAATTATTGTTTATAAACTGCCTATATGTTACCGTTTTCCAATTTAAATGCTAAGTGTTTATTGCTTTGATAATTGGCATTTCGCTCATACTTCCCCCAATTGGGACCCTCTTCCTTTTTTTTTATTTTGTTCTCGTGATGTTTTACCTTTGCACCTCTCACAACTACTCCAATTCTATTCAAATAACTATTATAGAAAGTTGGCATATGCGTGGACATAATGGATGGTTTTACTACCGTGAAGCCACGAGCTTCTCGCATAGAATTCCTTTCAAGTCCGTATCAAGCCAACTTTTAGAAGTCCTGGTTAGGTCATATGTGTTGCATAAGCCCTAGGTGGTTTGACCCTTGGTGTCAATCCACATAATTAGTAGCTACCCTCTCGTCTAAAGGGCCCCAACACCCTTAGACAAATTTCATACTTATGTGAACGTGATCATAATAATTAAATCAAGCCAACATTGTCAAAATGGAATTTGGAAGTTGTTTGTTACTTTGTTTGCAGAGTCATGGCTCTCCCTCATTTTCTCAACACGCAAATGGTGGTCAAAGTTAATCCCATTTTGAAGACTTGGTGGGAAGATATTCAAACAAATCGAGAGTTAGAAGCAAATGAACTGTTAGGCGGCCTCACTGCTTTGATCTCCGTATAGTCAAATCGTTACTTAATCAAGCATTATTGAAATTCTGGGACACTGGGAGGTTAGTCTTCAAATTCAAGGATTTTGAGCTAACCCCAACAATCGAAGAGGTTGGAGGATTCCTGGGTCTCGCATACAAAGAGCGGGAAATGATTGTTCCACACAAGCCAAGTCCAAGATCTTGTCTGAAGCAAATGGGCATGTGTCATAATCCAAATCTACTTTGTCTGAAAGAAGGTTGGATTTCTTTAGAGTTCTTATATTCACGCTTTGGGGATGAGGAAGATCATCAAAACTTTCATAGAGAATTTGCTTGCTCTTCTTCAAAATGGGAAAGATATCGTCTTAATGCATTCGCCATCGCCCTATTAGGCTCATTGGTTTTTCCTAGAGAAAGAGGAAAAATCCACACCGGCTTGTGTTACATGGTTCGTATGTTGGCTCGAGATGGGAAGACCTTAGTCCCCATGATACTTGCAGAAATTCTAAAAGCCTTGACTGCATGCACCAAAGGCAAAAGATACTTTGAGGGGTGCAACTTTCTGCTGCAACTTTGGGCCGTCAAACATTTCTACCAAAGAGCTAATAAAGTAGACATTGTTAGAGGGACTATGGGGAACAAAATTATCAACCATCGCCTAAGGATGAAATATTTTATCTCCCCTGTGAACGGAGGACTGGTTCACATACCTAAAGGAGCGCTCAGCCGTTGAAATCCAATGGAGGTATTATTGGTTGAAGCCACGACGTGCCATCATAAGAGGAAATGAACTTTACTTCATTGAGCTTACCGGTTTGAATGGTGTGAAACCATATGCACTACTTCGAGTCCTTCGACAATTCGTACAGATCCAAATGATACCTCTGCGATCCCACATGAGCCACTGTGGATATGACTTTGGGTCAGAATTACCGCAAGTGAACATTATATTGTGAAGATGGAAGAATGTGATAACTATCGATGTTCAAGAGCACTGACCCTTCTGCACACCTGAATATTACGTATGGCTTTTAGAAGACGCAGAGCATAGAGATTTGAGCGAATGATGTCTTCCTGGTTTTGGCGGTGAAAAAGAGAGTAGATGGGCTCGCAACCTTCTCAACACTGATTATGACATTACCCCAGAAATGAGGAAGCAGATTGTGCCTAACATTTGAGAGCAACATAATTGAAGTTTTTTTTCCTCTTTATTCCCCACGTTTTATCCATAGCCCTTTAGTTATCTCTAGATTGATGTAATAAATAGAAATTATTTCAATAATGGAAAGTCATTTTATTGTCTAACTCTAAACTCCAAATTGACAAATAAGGCTTGAATTAATTATTATGCATCACTTTTGTGTCACTTAGGCCTACCACTGGCTCAACGAGGTCCCGTGCATTTAGGGCGTTTATCTCAAAAAAAATGTTGATATTATAATATTATCCTAACCCCTAACTCTTTTTTGTTGATTCTACTGTTTTCCCATTTCCCATGGTTGATCTGTCCTTCATCCTGGCACATACACGATCAAAAGGGACCCCCCTTCTCCTTCTTCTCAAAGAGCAAGCTCCAAAGATAAAGGTAAAATGGTTGACGACAACAACATCAATGAAAGGGTAGAAGCTTCTGAGGAAGAACAACTTCAAAATGATCTTGTCCTAAGACTTGAGCGCAAGATTCTAGAATTGGAAGAAGAGGTAGCCCACATGCGTGATTTGGCCAAGCTGTCTACTCTCTTGGAACCCAATTCGGAGAAAACATAGACAATCTTCCTCACACTAACCAAACAACCATGCCAAACAATCCTCCAATCAATATATCCCGACCTGAACCCACTCGTCCAAATACCTTTCCACCACCCCACACCCAAAATACCCAAGTTCCATTCCACCACTATTACCAACAAACCAAACCAACCTTCCCAGAAACAACCCCAAACGCAAATCTCCCATATACTCTTGGAAACAACAACCTCAATCCAATATACGTGGAAACTGCCCCTCTGACCCATGACCTCCATGAATCAGAGTCCCACCAAAAAGACATTCTAATAAAAAACCTGACTGAGAGATTAGACAGCTTGACCAATAGGGTACAACATGTTGAAGAAAACAAGAGGTTAGGAGGATTGAGATATGAGGATCTATGCATGCACCTTGATGTAGAATGGCCCAAAGGATACAAGCTTCCAAAATTTAAGATGTTCAATGACATTGGGGATCCCAAAGCCCACCTACGAATGTACTGTGACAAACTTGTAGGGGTGGGAAGAGACGAGAGGATACTCATGAAGTTGTTTATGAGGAGTCTTACTGGGGAAGCCCTAGCATGGTATATTGAGCAAGACTCGTGGAAATGGGTAGAGTGGGTTGATATGGCAACTGATTTCATGAATAGGTTTGGTTTTAATATAGAAAATGCACCCTATTGGTTTTACATTCAAAATTTGAAGAATAAACCGAGTGAATCCTTCAGAGAATATGCCATAAGATGGAGGTTTGAAGTGGCTAGGGCCAGACCCCCTATGGAGGAATCTCAGATGAAAGACTACTTCATCTGTGCCCAAGAACCACAATACTATGACCGAATGATGCTGGTGGCTGAAAAGAGTTTCGCTGAAATCATCAAACTGGGCGAAAGAATTGAAGAAGGCATAAAGAATGGGACTATCATCAACTTGGAGGCTTTACAAGCAACCAACAAGGCTCTGCAATTTAGTGGAATGACAGAAAATTGAAAGAAAACAGGTTCTGTAATGATGGCTCATGGAACCAAGACCCCTTTGAGGCACAAGACAACAAACCCACCACCATCCCCATACCCTCACACCCCATACCCTCAACATCCCTCAACTCCACCCCCTATATCTCCCCAAGCCATGCCAATATATTACCAAAATGCTCCCCCTTAATATTTACATACCTCATATCCTGTCTATAATGTTCAACCAACACACTTCCAAACTCCACCACCCACTCAGACACCAAATTACCGAAACAAACCTCCCTATGAAAGAAGACCTACAAAAATTTATACCCCTTTGGCTGAACCCATAACACAACTTTATGAAAGACTGAAACAGGCTGGGTACATCTCCCCAATTCCTGCATTACATGTGGATGTTCTCGCAAAATAGTACGACCCTAACAAGGTCTGCGCCTACCATTCTGGGATGAAAGGTCACACCAACGAAGTTTGCAGAGCCCTCAAGGATAAGGTTAAACTGTTGATTGATGCAAAAACCATCCAACTCAAGGATCCTACACCGAATGTTGCGAATAATCCTCTTCCTAACCATTAAGTCAACATGGTGGAAGCTGGTGATGTCTGGGATTGGGAAGAATCTATCTCGACCCTCAAAAACAGAAGAAGCCATGTCTACCACCGCCCAAGCACCATAATAGTGCAAGGACTCACCTCATTTGAAGTAGAAGTTGCTGCACCCAGACCACCGTTCACTGTCTATAGGGCATCTTCCCCAATAAAATGTGATACACATGCTGTACCTTGGGATTACAACAAAAGAGAAACGATAGTGTAAGAGACAGATGTTGCAACATGGGTCACTAGATCTAGAAGAATTTACACCTCTGAAAATTTGGTTCAGGGAAGCTCTAGCAAATCCAAAGCACTAGTCGTAGAGCTTGAAGATCAGGGTATTAGGAAAAAGGTTCAAGCTAAAGAATACTCTGTCATTGAGCAGCTGAGTAAACCCCCATCCCAAATATCAATTCTGGCGTTACTGCAATCTTCCGAAACTCATCGAAATGCCCTTCTGAAGATCCTTGGTGAAGCTTATGTCCCATCTAACATCACTCATGGAGAGGTAGCCCAAATGGTGGGGCAGGCCTTTGAGGCTTACAAAATATCTTTTCACAAAGATGAGCTGCCACTCGAAGGAATAACCCATAATAAAGCTATGTATATTTCGGTTCAGTATCAAGATAAGGTGATAAACAAAGCATTAGTTGATGCAGGTTTTGGTTTAAACATTTGCCCTCTGAGCACACTAACGAGGCTGGGCGTGGATAGTGCAAAAATTCAGACATGAAAGATGAATATGAGGGCATTTGACGGCTCTCACAGAGGCACTATTGGGGATATAACCTTGGACATGCTCATTGGTCCTGTTACTTTCCCCATATATTTCCAAATCTTGGACACCCCTTCATCATACAACTTATTGTTGGGTCGTCCATGGATTCATATGGCTGGAGTGGTCCCAGCTACTTTTCACCAATGCCTGAAGTTTGAATGGGATTACGAAGAGGTTGTAGTCTATGGGGAAAAAGGGCATCCTATATACACGATTGAAGAAAGAAAGCATATGGATGGTGAAATGTACCATACAGTGGATCTTGTTGGTAATATTGAGTTGCAACCTTGGTTCAGCCAAAAAATCATAGATATGATGGCCTGGTTCGGTTTCGATCTTGGGAAAGGTTTGGGGGCTGAATTGCAAGGGATAGTCGAACCTATACAACCTGTTCGACATTCCACCACTTTTGGCTTGGGATATAAGTACACTACAGAAGAATGGATCGATTGGAAACCACATAGAGATGGGTACTATTATCCATTGAAAAAACCCATACCGCCATTGCATCAATCATTTCGATCAACAGGTTTCATGGGAGGCAATATTGATGAGATCTCAGATGACTTGAAGGGGTTGTCGCTAACCAAAGAAGAGGGGAAAGTTTGCAACGTTGTGATCAACGAGGAGGAGAAAGGGGGCCCTAGTAAAAGCAAGAAAGCAAAGATCAGCGTCAGCAACTGGACCTCGACTCCATCCAGACCTCGTCGAGCATCTAGGTAGCCTTGGAAGATGTTTTAGATCAAGTTTTAATTCAAATAAAAAGAGTTTTTTAATAAACACTTTAATTCCCATCCCCTGTATTGCTTTCAAATGAGAACTTATGAAATTTTCAAATTTTTATCAATAAAGTTCTTTTCCCCATTTTGACCTTATATTTAATTGTTTGCTATTTTTTTTCTCACCAGCAAAATTCACTATAAAAATGTTGAATCTGAGACTATGGCATACTATGAGACTTCTCAACTTAACATTAATGACTTAGAAGAAGTCGAAGACAATGAGGTTCCCAAGGAGTTAATCAAAAGGGTTGAAAAATTCGAGGAAAAACCCAATCCAAACTTGGTAGAGACAGAAGTGGTGAATTTTGGAAATGCAGAGGTGATACAAGAAACCCGAGTAAGCATCCATATGACAAAAGAAGACAAGAAAGAGTATACCAAGTTTCTCATAGAGAAAAAGGATATTTTCGCATGGTCCTATGCAGAAATGACAGGGCTAAGTAATCGTAGCCCATTGACTGCCCACTGATCCAGCATGTGCTCCGGTAAAACAAAAGCTGAGAAAATACAAGCCCGAGTTGAGTCTGAAAATCAAAGAAGAAGTATCAAATCAATTAGATGATTGGATCCTCCAAGTGACAGAATACCCAACTTGGCTTGCAAATGTCGTTCCAGTGCCTAAGAAAGTCGGCAAGGTCAGAGTTTGTGTGGATTACCGGGATCTCAATAAAGCTAGCCCTAAAGATAGTTTTCCATTACCAAACATACACATATGGATTGACAATTGTGCTAAGCATGAAACTCAGTCATTTGTGGATTGCTTTGCCGGCTATCATCAACTAGAGATGCACAAAGACGACGCTGAGAAAACTGCCTTCATCACACCGTGGGGCGTCTATCACTACAAGGTGATGCCTTTTGGATTAAAGAATGCTGGGGCTACGTACATGAGGGCAATTACTACTTTGTTTCATGACATGATCCTTAAGGAAATTGAAGCTTATGTGGATGATGTCATCATCAAATCAAAGGAAAGTTCAAATCATCTTAAGGACTTACGGAAATTCTTTGCCAGGCTACGCAAGTACAATCTGAAACTAAATGCATTAAAATGTGTCTTTGGTATGCCTGCTGGAAAGCTTTTAGGTTTCATTGTCAGTCGTCGAGGTATAAAATTGGACCCATCAAAGATCAAAGCCATTCGTGACCTTCCCCCGCCAAAGAGCAAGAAGGAGGTAATGAGTTTCTTAGGGCGACTTAACTACATTAGTCGTTTCATAGCTCAGTCTACTGTCATCTGTGAACCTATCTTCAAGCTGTTAAAAAAGGTGCTGCGGTGAAATGGACAAACGAATGTCAACAGGAATTTGACAAGATCAAAGACTATCTATTCAATCCTCCTGTATTGGTTCCACCAGAGTCAGGTAGACCATTACTTTTATATATTTTAGTATTGAATAATGCTTTCAGTTGCATCTTGGACTACACGATGAAACAGGGAGGAAGGAACATGCAATATATTACATGAGTAAGAAGTTCACATCATGTGAAGCCCGATACTCTCTATTAGAGCGTACCTGTTGTGCTCTAACATGGGCTGCCCAAAAGTTACGACATTACTTCTCATCGCATACTACTTATCTGATTTCAAGGATGGATCCTTTGAAGTATATCTTTCAAAAGCCCATGCCCATAGGTAAACTGGCAAAATGACAGATATTGTTGAGCGAGTTTGACATAGTGTATGTCACGCAAAAAGTAGTGAAAGCACATGCATTAGCAGACCACATAGCAGAGAATCTCGTGGACGATGATTATAGGCCGTTGAAGACCTACTTCCCAGATGAAGAGGTGGCCTTTGTGGGAGAGGACATTTCTGAAGAATATGATGAATGGAGAATGTTCTTTGATGGAGCTAAAAATCTGAACGGATTCGGCATCAGGGCTGTTTTGATCTCACCCACCGGGCAACATTATCCGGTATCACCAAAACTCAAATTCCTTTGCTCAAATAATATGGCCTAATACAAAGCTTGCATACTAGGTCTCCGACGGACGATTGACTTGGATGTCCAGGAAATGCTAATAATAGGGGATTCAGACCTATTGATCCATCAGGTTCGAGGTGATTGGGCAACAAAAAATCGAAAGTGGTTACCATATTTGGATTGCGTGCATAGGCTATGTACAAGGTTTGTCAAAACAGAATTCAGATATGTACCAAGGGTACAAAATGAATTCACAGACGCCTTAGCCACTCTATCTTCTATGATTCGACACCCTGATCACAATTACATCGATCCTATTCATATTCACATATATGAACAACCAGCTTATTGTTTCCATATTGATGAAGAGCCTGATGGAAAGCCCTGGTACGATGACATTAGAGGATATTTGAAGAGTGGTGAATACACGGAAGATGCAACAAATGTACAAAAGCGTACAATTCAAAGGTTAGCAACCCAATTCTTTTTAAGTACGGAAATCCTCTATAGGAGAACTCCCAATTTGGGGCTGCTAAGATGTGTCGAAGCAGGAGAGGCTCGCAGGCTGGTCGAAGAGATACATGCAGGCACCTGTGTCCCTCACATGAATGGTTTTACATTAGCAAAGAAGATTCTGAGATTAGGATATTATTAGACAACTATGGAGACAGACTGCATTCGCTACGTCCAGAAATGTCGTCAATGTCAGACTCACGCAGATATAATTCGAATACCCCCCAACGAACTCCATGTCACTAGTTCACCTGGGCCGTTCGCAGCATGGGCCATGGATGTCATTGTTCCAATCGAGCCAACAGCATCCAACGGGCACAGATTCATTCTTGTTGCAATTGACTATTTCACCAAGTGGGTTGAGGACACCTTCCATAAATCAGTGACAAAGAAAGTTCTGGATGACTTTGTCAAAAAT